GTCTGTCTGTCTGTCTGTCTCTGTCTCCGCCCCTGTCCCCCTGTCTCCCTGTCTCCCTGTCTCCCTGTCTCCCTGTCTTCCCGTCTCCCTGTCACCCTGTCTCCCTGTCCCCCTGTCTCCCTGTCTCCCTGTCTCCCTGTCCCCCTGTCTCCCTGTCCCCATGTCTCCTGTCTCCCTGTCTCCCTGTCCCCCTGTCCCCCTGTCTCCCTGTCTCCCTGTCTCCCTGCTCCTCTGTCCCCTTGTCTCCCTGTCTCCCTGTCTCCCTGTCTCCCTGTCTCCCAGTCCCCCTGTCCCCCTGTCCCCCTGCCCCCCTGCCCCCCTGTCGCCCTGTCCCCCTGTCTCCCTGTCTCCCTGTCCCCCTGCCCCCCCAGTCTCCATGTCCCTTGTCTCCCTGTCTCCCTGTCTCCCTGTCTTCCTCTCTCTCTCTCTCTCTCTCTCTCTCTCTCTCGCTCTATTCTCTCTCTCTCTCTTCTTTTCTCCTCCTCCTCTCTCCTCTCTCTTCTCTCTCTCCTCGTTTCCGCTCTCTACTCTTTCTCTCTCTCTCTCTCTCTCCCTCTCTCTCTCTCTTCATCTCTCTTTTTTTTTTTTTTTTTTTTTTTTTTCTTTCTCCCTCTCCTCTCTCTCTCTCTCTCTCCTCTCTTCTCTCTCTCTCTCTTCTTCTCTCTCTTTCTTTTTTTTTTTTTTTTTTTTTTTTTTGTTTTCTCTCCTCTCTCTCTCTATCTCCCTCTCTCTCTCTCTCTCTTCTCTCTCTCTCTCTCTCTCTCATCCCCTCTCTCTCTCCTCTCCTCTCTCTCCTCCCTTCTCTCCTATCTCTTCTCTCTCTCTCTTCTCTATCCTCTCCTCTCTCTCTCCTCATCTCTCTTTTTTTTTTTTTTTTGTTTTTTTTTTTTTTTTTTTTTTTTTTTTTTTTTTTTTTTTTTTTTTTTTTTTTTTTTTCTTTTTTCTTTTTTCCTCTCTCTCTCTCTCTTCTCTCTCTCTCTCTCTCCTCTCTTCTCTCTTTTTCTCTCTCTCTCTCTCTCTCTCTCTCTCTCTCTCTCTCTCTCTCTCTATCTCGATATGTATATATATATATATATATCATATGCATTGGGGGCACCGCGGGTCCGTTCTCCCCGCGGGCGCCGCGCGGCCTCTCGGGCCAACTCGGCGCGTCTTGCGCTTGCTGCGAGCTGCGCCTTTTGAACGCGGCCGTTCGGCGCAGTAGTTTGGAACGCCCAGTGACTAGTGCATGCCGCGAGAAGCCAGAGAGAGAGAGAGGGGGGGGGCGGGGCGCGCTCGAGCTTTTTTGATTCGCGGCGCGCGAGGCCCTCTCATCGAAGGCCCGCCCGGCCCGCCCGTTTAGTCTGCCCCCCCCCACCCCCCCCCCCCTTCACCCCCCGCGCCGCAGGGGCCCGGCGGGGGCGGGCGCCCCCGCCGCCGCGGGCGGGGGCGCGGGGCCACAGAGCTCGCGCCCTCAGCTGCTAATGGCGGCCCGCGTCGCCGCCGCGCTCCGATAAGGAAAGACTCTTCTCTCCCTGGGGGCCCGCGGGTGCACTCCCCCCGCTGGCGCCGAGTGGCCCTGCTGGGCCAGCTCGGCGCGTTTTGCGTTGTTTGCGAGCTGCGTCGCGAAGACCTGAGGGCGCGCCGAACGAAGCAGCGACGCGCGGAGGGCAGTGGCATGGGGTTGGGGGGGGGCGGGGGGAGCAGAGCTGGGCGCGGGGGCCGTCGGGGTTACTTCGCAGAGCCCCGGGCTCCGTCGACGACCTGGCGAGGGCAACGTGGATCGCAATCGACGCGCTGCCAAGGCCATCGAAGCATGGGCGACGCGATTCCTCTGCAAGCTGTTGCGCAACCGAAGTCTGCGCGAAGTATTTCGTCAGGCATGGATGGGGATAGTGCCAAACATATCCAACGAGCGTCAACCACCTCCAGACCGCGCGGCGCTTCCGCGGCCGTGAGCGGCGGTCAGGGGCCCGCCATATCCCGCGGCGCAGTCGCCGTGTTTTGGGCTCGACGCGCGCGCCCCCCGGGGGTGTCCAATGATTGTAACCACGTTTTTTCGTGCGAATACAATCGGCGCAATTGGGCGCGCCCTTGCCGCCGCCAAAGAACGCCAAGAGCAAGCGGCAGATCAATCGAGCAAGCGACGACGACTCTCAGGGCGCGCCCTGGGCGACCATCCAAAATCAAACGTTGTAAGACGGACGAGACAAGCCATGCATGTGTTATCTGTGGTGGGCTGCCAACCACTGCGACGCATTGCATGCGACCGCGCCCCTCGCGTCAACCCGAGGGCCCTGCACCTAACCGGCCGTGCGTGCGACGTTCCGGCGACTTCGGTGACGTCCGGATGGTTGCCCCCAGAGAGGTGGCGGGATCCAGTGGCGCGGCGACGACGCAACTACAATGTCATCGCGGGCCGCATCGCCAGTTACACCATGAACGTCTGGCAAACGTGGTCTTTAGAGTTCGATTGGCCACGCGCGCGCGCGAGCAGAACGCCCCGCGATTGTAACCGCATTGTTCATGCGAACAGCGGGGCACGAGGCAGAGCGCGCGCGGCCTCTGCGCTGATCATGGAAGTAATCTTCGGTAATTAGTGGCGATGGGCACAAACTGGTCATGGGAGGCACGTGTTTCGAGACCTGGGCATGTTTCAGAACGGGAAACACACGTAAACACAAAAGGTTATATTGGTTTTACGCCAGAAAGGGGCGACGTTGAGAGGGCGTCCGGCACGGCTGCGGGGGCCGGGGTGGCGCCGGCGTTTGGGGCCGGCGGTTTTCGCGGCAAGCGCGCGTAGCCGGTCGCATTTGTTCGGGGCACGTGGCGGGTGGAAGGGCCGCCCGCCAGTAACTGGCAGTCCTCTGTCCGCGGGCCAGAACAGATCGCCGCGCGCTCGCAGCGGGGCGCGGGAAAAGGGGGCCGGGGAGAGAGCGCGAGTCTCATTCCCAAGAAGTCCCTTCGATATGCAGCAATCAGTTCTTGTTCTATTCATCTGCCGCGCGGCCAGCCGAACAAACGAACAACTGTCTCGGCGCGCAGCGTTAGCTTCGCTTGCGCGCATCCTGGCTCCCTTCCGTTGTTTCCTTCGCTTCTTTCTCACCCTCCTCTTCCTTTTCCTCATCTTGCCTTGTCCCGCCCCCCCTTCCTTTCCAGCTCGGAGCTGTCGCCGCGCGCGAAAAGGCCAAACAAAAGAGCGTTGCTGTAATTCCATTGTGCGCCACGAAGTCTCGCGTAATTCCTTTGTTTATGGTCTGGTTGCGCTGCCGGCGCAGGGGGCGCGCAAAGGAATCTCCTTCGTGTGCGATCGTTTTCGCCGCCCCCGCAAGAGCGCGCGCGATTCCTTTGTGTAGAGCTCGCTTTCCCGCCTCGAGGGGCGCGCGGGGCCTGGCGCTCCAGTCGCAAGGCCGCGGCGCCTGGCAGCGCGATGCAGCTGCGCCGGATGCCGCGCCCAAAACGATCCCACATGGATGTCGGCTCATCTGCCGACTTCGTGTTGGCAGCTGGCCAGTCACATCGCCGGCCCTGCATATCCGCGCGCACTACTGCGTTTTGCTGCCGCGACGCGTGCTGCTGTCAACGGATGAACAAACTGACGTTGCACGGTGGTTTGGCTGTACCAAACCACCGCGGAATGTTTGTTGGTAGCGGATATTGGGATCTTGTCGCTGCCGACAGTCTTGCCACGCCATACGTGTCAACTGCATCCTAGAGCACGGCCGTGCATCAACCCTGGTTCGGGTCGGTGGGGATCAGTGGCATGTGTGCACATGCGTTGCACCGTTGGTGGTGCCAAAAACCTTTCTGTGAAATTATTGCTTGTCTGGCTCCTAATATTCCTTTTCCGCAGAGGTAGCAGCACTAGCGGAACGCACTTGCGTAGATTGGCTGACCGGTTGGCGCATGCATGATGAGCACCCACAACGAACTCTCCGGATAGTCTAGGTAGATTTTTGGCCGAAGCCGACAAGAAACAACATGCGGGGACCGTATGTTCAAAACGAAGACCCAACGCCGCAGGACGGCTGGGATAACAGCAGTGACCCACATTTCGAAGGTCCGAGCGGATTGTTGGAGCGGCGCTGGGAATCCCGTTTTTCTGCTTACGCCGGTGTTTTTGTTCGAAGGTCGCAGATTCGAGGGAGGACGCTGGTTTCGCTAAGGGCGGCTCCCGAACTGTAGGTTTCCCCAAATGGGGTTGGAGCACTTGTGGATGGGCCACGTCGCCGATGCAATGGTGATCCGTCGCGATCAGGAACCCATTGTTTTTCATCCGTACATCGCCGATGCATTGCCGATGCATTGCGCGATGTTCCAGCCATATACACTCTGGCCCCACCTGCGCGGCCTCTACGGAGATGAAGCGGGGGGGGGGCACGGATGGCCAGAAACGCCTTCCCCCCCCAGGCCCCCGCGCGCAAAGCAGGCAGGATACTGCGAGGGTTTTGCAGGGGCGGCTGCGGCTGCAGATTTGGAGGGGCAAAGGCGATAGTGATTATGTTTCTAAACATTGTTTTGCCGATCGGCGTGGGCCGTCGCACCTCTTTCCCCCGCCCCCCCTCCCATTGAACAGATTTTAGCTATTTTAGCGTCTGTCTCAAGCAGGTGGATTCTCCGCCATACGACGCACTGTTGCAAGCAGTCTCACTAAACAGAGGTCTTGCGCCAGACCCTCCCCCCCTTTTCCGTCCAATGTCGAAACGCCGAATACGAAAACGTTTACATATGGATGCACATGAGGTTTCTGATTGCGGCGTCGTACAGTAGGGCCAGAGCGCATGCGGTCGGAGGGTCGTGCCGCATCGTCGATGCATCGGCTGTTTGCCGCGATCCGGAGCCCGCCTTTCCCCATTTCGACGTCGCCGATGCACCGGCGACGTGGTGTGATTCACCGACCCCATCCATATGTGTGTGTGCCGTTTTCGAAGTTCGCCTTGAAACCTCCCCCCCTCCTCGCTCCCCCTTCTGAGGGCAGGGCTTGTCAGGGTGGGGCGGGGGGCGCCCCGGGCCGGTCGCAGGGCGCGCCGCTGCTGCTGTCGCCCCGGGATTGTGCTCCGGCGCCTCCTGGTGGCGGCCTGGCCCAGTGGCTGCTGGAAAGGAGCGCCTCCTCCCCCTCCCCAAAGGGCCAGAACGTGCAAAGAAACTGGGAACAGTGGCTCGTGGCAGCCTCGTGCCCTCGCCAGTTCCCTTTAGTAGTGTTCACCGCTTCAGCGACCTCATCCCGACTGCTTCGGGCTCGTTTCACCCGCCCTGAAAATTTCCACTCTCCATGCAATGTGAGATTTCCAGTTGCTAGAACACAGTGTTCATACATATCAACTTTCGGAGGGCCCGCCTGAATCTCTTGGATCCGCGCTCGCCCCCCGTAGACGGCGCCTCCGGCACTGGCCCTGCCGCGTTCCGTGCGCCAGTGGAGGGAGGGGGGCAGGGTGGATCCAAGAAATCTGTGCGGGCCTCTAAAAGTTTCTGTTGAGTCTTCTTCTGTTCCTGGAGGACCAGTACAATAACACCACTGCCTTTGAATCCAAGTTTCCGTCGAGGCTCTACGCATGACATTTCGGTTTCCAGGTATGGAGTGTTTTGTTCTAGCACCTGGAAGATCAGGCTTCTGTACTGCTGGTGCCGTTGCCTCTCCTCCTCCTCCTCGTCCTCTTTTTCCCCCGTTCCTCTTGCCCGCCCTCCACCTCCTCGAGCGGTCGGTCTCCATACAGCATTGCCTGTCTTGCATGTCTTAATGCTATCAGTTTTTTGCTGCCGCTTTGGTCGGGTACGGAGGTCAGCCGAACTCCGTGCCCGCATCCGGCGCGTATTCATCCCGTATTCGGTGCACAAGCAAGTTCGCTTAACGCACACCCGTTGTCACAGTTCGTGGCGGAGCCCAGGCCCCTCCCCATTACCTTTCGTCGCCATGGCCCGCGCGGCGTCTTCGCCAGTCCTTTGCCTTTGTCTTCGTTCCCCACCTGTCCACCGTGTTCGGCGAGGATTATCCAGCTATTCTTGCCCCCCGTATTCATCCACCTTCGGGTCTTGCGAAGTCGAGCGACGAGGCGGACATCTACCATAACAAGTTTTTTTTGCAAAGCTTCAACGAGCGCGGCGCCCACGCGCTGCCGCTGCCTGCTTCTCTTCCGGGGCTTATTCCAGCTGTGCTGGGGTCGTTTTCGGCACCGCAGGACGGGCTTTCGGCAGAAAATAAGGAGCCCCATCGTTTCCAGCAGTAGCTTCAATTAGTTGCCCGAGCTCGACTCTATGTTGCGGGGAACGGAGCAAACGCAGGCGGATCAGAGCGAAGACAATGGAGAGTTGGACAACTAGGTTGTCATATCTCTAATGGTCAACGAAAGAGGTGTGTGACCACTTGCCTACGATATTTCGGTGCGCGACACGTCGCCACGCCCGCTCCTGCGCGCGAGTGGTGTGTGTGTGTGTGTGTTTGTGTGTGTGTGTGTGTGTGTGTGGTGGGGGGGGGCGCCCGCGCTGCTTTAAAGCTAGCGAATCGGGAGATGAGTTGTAGGAGGAGCAGTGGGGGGAAGTCTCGGCGGAGATGGTTGGGGGCGGGGGTCGTCTCAGTTCGTCTCGGTCCGGACGTTCGTTGCGCCGCTGCGTTATTCAGGTTGCGTTGGGTGTGTCGGTTTCGGTTGGTTTCGTTTTCGCTGGCGGTTCGGCCAATTGTTTGCTTTGCTATCGCCGTGTGCTTTTAGGGGCTGCGGGCCGGGACGAACCGGGATTATGCTTGACGGCGCAAGTTGTTCGCCCGATTATGCGCAGGTTCCGTTGTTGGTTCCGTGACGATTGTCTGTCAACCAACGAGCGCCGTCCGCAAAACAGCAGTCGTTGTCGATCTTTGGCGCCAGCGATTGTTGGGCATCGCCCCCTTTGGCGTCGCTTCAATTTGGGCATAGTTCGGCGGGGCACGGGAAAGGGGAGACGAGAAGGACGAGAGGAGAAAAATATGGAGAGAAACCAGGATAACTCCTATGTTTTAGGGGTTCAAGGCAAGGCCTGAGATCATATTGGGAATTGTATTGGGGGGTTTTGGCAGTTCCCCAGAAGAGGAGGAGGGAAAGGAAGGAAAACACGATGACGGGGCAGAAGGAGGAGTAGTAGGAGGACGAGGACAGGGGAGATACGACGTAGGAAAGAGGGAATAATATGCGGAATCTTCATGGTTATCGTCACGTCGTTGTCGTTGTTCCTCCTTTTTTCCTTCCTTTCCCACCTCCCCTCTCTCCCCATTTTGTCCCCCCCTCATTTGTGACCCCTGGAGGCTAAATTAACCGTGGTCGGATATATTTATTCCGACCAGATCCGGCCCAGTCCGCCTTCATGAACCTTCTAGTCAGGACTAACAACCTTCAATCGTCCCCGCGAAGACGTCCCAGGAGTTTCGTCTTTGCCCCCCTACCCCTACCCCGTTTCCCCACGTGTCCGCCTCCCCTTTCCATTCCCGTTATTCCAGGCAGCCCTGCGACCTTCTGCCCGCCGCCGTTGCCCGCGCGTCCGAGTGCTCCACCGTGCCCAGCACGCCAGTGTTCAGCGACACGCGGCGGCCGTCGCACTGGCCGGCAGACCCGCGGTCGGTTTGTCACTTTGAGGTCTCATTCGACTGCGCGTAAAAGTGGCCCTTCGCCAGAGTGACCTTCGGGTGCTGGCCCACTTGGATTCCCCCGGTTGTTGCATGCGCTGCGACAGCTGCAGCCTGTGCGCTTGGGTTAGTCCCTTCCGCGGCCATCCTGGAGCCGCGCACTCGCCGAAGGCCACTCTTCCCCATGGCCACCCTTGCGTGTAGCCGACTGGTTGCGTTTGGACCATGATCCCAGGCTTCCGACGACATGATTTTTCACCCCGGCGTTTCTCCTCCAGTTCGGCCTCTGGTTCCCGCTATCGGGCCCACGGATTGTCGAACATGGCTCAGGGCCGAACAGCTATACCCCCAGGGAAGTGGCCAGGACCTGAAGCTACGCATTGACAAGCAAGTATCGTCGCATGTCTTAGGATTTGACTACGATCGCTTACCTCCGATTGTTGTCGACCCGCATAGGAAGGATGGGCAAACTTCCCAAGGGTCCCTTGCATCCTTGCCTCCTCGGTTCATCCTTCGCCACTTCCGTTGGCCGCGCCCCGCTCGAGAAGATCTGGCATGGGCGTCCAAGATACGGGCCGACTGCGTTTTGCTCCACCCCCGCGTTTTTCATCCAGGTCTGGTTCCGGGAAGACATTTCCGCGCCACGGGGCGATTCGGCGACACAGTGGCCCCATGGAGAGGATTGAGAGCTCATGCTGCTCGCTTGGATCGAGTTCGCCCAGCGCGGCCCCAATCAGTGTGTCCTGATCACTGGAAGCCAAGTCAACCATAAGACTACCTACAGTAGGGCAATGGGCAATCGTGCAAGTGCAATGCCATGGAGGTCAATGCAAAAGCAACGCAACGGGAAACAACGCAATGGCAACACATGCGCTATGAGAGGACATCGAAGGAACACGCCGGGACTGAAACACATCATGCCGAAGGATATCTGGGTTTCTTCAACGTTGGCCCACCGACCGCGCCGCCAGACTCGGACCCTCGGGACAGGCGGCCCTCTAGGGGGCCACATGCGAACCCTGCCCCTACCCCCCACGATTTCTGAGGGGGAGGGTGGGGTTCACTTCGTGAACGTGGGGGGGAGGGGCAGGGTTCGCATGTGGCCCCCTGCCCTCGTCCTGGCTGCCAGACGCGGCGCGGCCCACGCACTGGTCGCCGGAGCCGCACGAGGAGCGGCGCCCTGGCGGCCGCTGCGAGGAGGGGGCGCCGGCCTGGAACGCCGGGTGGAGGCGCGCCAGCGAGGCCAGCGTGTCGCAGGCGGCGCTGGAGGCTGGGCAGGGGGAACGCCGAAGAGGGGGGGGGGGGCGGGGCGTTTCGCGGTGCCCTGAGATCCTGGCACTGCAATTTTTCACAGCGGACGTTTTCGCTCCATTTCGGGCCCTGGGACCCTCGCAGATCGATCCGGCTCGAACAATGACGCAGAAAGATGGGGTCCAGGGCTCCCTGCTGTTGCATTTGTTTTGCAGCGTCGGATCTCAGTGTGGGGGAACTGCACCGGGAACGTCGAAGATGGGGGGCGTCTCGCAGTGGAGGGGGGCGACACAGTCAACCCGTAGAAAAAGGACGCACGATAATGATGCAAGGGTCTTGGAGGGCCATGCCGACACTTTGAGAGCTGTGCGCGGCCAGCGAAAGTTGCCAAGGATGGGCCGAAGGGGAATAATGCCAAGGGGAGCCTTTGAAAGTTACTCACCCTTACCTAGCGGGTTGACTGTAAGTGGGAGTGCCCCCAGAGGGTCCAACCCTTCCAAATCATCAGGGCTGGGGGCAGTCAGGGGTAGCTACAGATTCGCGCCTCGGGGGCCCAAACAGGAGTTACCCCGGACCGCAGTTATCCTGGATAATTCGGACGTCCAACCCTCTCGAATCATCAGGGTTGGGGGCAGTCAGATGTAGCTACAAACTCGGAGTTACCTCGGATCGCAGTAATCCCGGATAATTCGGGCGTCCAAAGGGTGTCAGGAAAGGGCGCCCAGATGATGGCAGGAAGGGCCCCCCCAGTTTATGCTCTCCCCGCTAGACGACCGCGCATGGTCTCCTCTTTTAGCAACGCCCCAGAAGGAGTACGAGTCCGCCATGAAGCAAACGAGTCCCGAGGGAAACGGGTCCTGAATTTCTCCGCTGTTTTGAGGATCTCGGGGCCCTCTGGAAACAGGCTGGTTCAACGAATCGCGATTCATTCGCTCCGGTTCACCCGATCCCCAGGCCGGGTGAGTTAAGCGACCGGGTGAATGAAGTACTGGGTGAGTTAAGTAGCGGGTGAGTCAAGCCAGCTGAGTTAAGCAACGGGTGAGTTCGGCCGGGTGAGTTAAGCACTGGTTGAGTAAGGCTGCATATTGGTGAGTTAGGCACTGGGTGAATTAGGACGGGGTAAGCCAAGCACTGGGTGAGTTGGGGATTGGGTGAGTTAGGCATTGAGTGAAATTGGCATCGGATGAGTTACGCACCGCGGGTGAGTTAGGCACCAGGTGAGGTAAGCTCCAGGTGAGTTAGGCATTGGGTGATGTAATTAGGCGTTGGGCGAGGTAGACACGGGGTGAGTTAGGCATCGTTTGAGGCAGGCACAGGATGAGTCAGGCACCAGGTGAGTTAAGCACCGGGTGAGTTTGGCATTGGGTGATGTAGGCGTTTGGTGATGTAGGCACGGGGTGAGTTAGGCATGGGTCGAGGCAGGCACAGGGTTAGTTAAGCTCCGGGTGAGTTAGGCACCCTGTGACCAGGTGATGTAGGGACCGGGCGACTTAGGCGTTGGCATTGGGTGAGTTAATTCTAGACGCTTCGCGTATCCCCACCAGCCCGTCCAGAAATGAGTCCCAGGGGAGTGGAGGTTATGAGGGAAGCGGGGGAGCATGCAGAAGAACAGAGGGCGGGGTGAGCCGCCATATACCCCAAGAGGGGGAGGATGTAGGAGGAGCCGTCGTCGTCGGAGTAGGAGGAGGAGGAGGAGCAGGAGGAGGAGCAGGAGGAGGAGCAGGAGGAGGAGGAGGAGGAGGAAGATAAGGAGGAGGAGATGGAGGACTGCGAGGACGAGGAGGACGAGAAGGAGGAAAAGGAAAAGGAGGAGGAGGAGGAGGAGGAGGAGGAGGAGGGGGAGGGGGAGGAGGGAGGAGGAAGAAAAAGAGGAGGAGGAGGAGGACAATGGCGAGCTTGGAGGCCTCTTGGGCCGTCTTTGGAGCCTCTTGGCGGTCCCGGGGGCCTCTTGCGTATCTCGGGGAGCCTCTTGTGGCCTCTTGGGGGTCTCTTGGGGGCCTCTTGGAGGCCTCTTGGGGGCCTCTTGGGGCCTCTTGGGGCTCTCTTGGGGCGCTCTTGGGGCGCTCTTGGGAGCTTTCGAGGCGCTCTTGGGGCCATCTTGGAGGAGATCTATCAAAGAAGGGGGGGTCCTCAATTAGCGCTGCCCCTCTAGAGTGCCTCGAATCGCTTCTTGGGCCCTTCTTGAGGCCAAAATCTTTCCAAAACCTAGGTAAAATCAATGTTTTGTGTTTTCTCGCCTTTTCGCTCTTGGAGCCGTCTTGGGCCGTCTTGGGAGCCTCTTGGGCCTCTTGGAGGTCTCTTGGGAGCCTTTTGGAGGCCTCTTGGGCGCCTCTTGGGGCCTCTTGGGGCGCTCTTGGGGCGCTCTTGGGGCGCTCTTGGGAGCCTTCGGGGCGCTCTTGGGGCCATCTTGGAGGAGATCGATCAAAGAAGAGGGGGTCCCCAATTAGCGTTGCCCCTCTAGAGTGCCTCGAGTCGCCTCTTGGGCCCCCCAAGAGGCCAAAATCCTTCCAAAACCTAAGGAAAATCAATGTTTTTTGCTTTCTCGCCTTTTCGCTCTTGGAGCCGTCTTGGGCCATCTTGAACTCTCTTGGGGCCTCTTGGGGGTCTCTTGGCAGCCTCTTAGAGGCTTCTTGGGGGCCTCTTGGGGTCTCTTGGGGCCCTCTTGGGGCGCTCTTGGGGCGCTCTTGGGAGCCTTCGGGGCGCTCTTGGGGCCATCTTGGAGGAGATCTATCAAAGAAGGGGGGAGCTCCAATTAGGGTTGCCCCTCTAGAGTGCCTCGAAGCGCCTCTTGGGCCCCCCCAAGAGGCCAAAATCCTTCCAAAACCTAAGGAAAATCAATGTTTTGTGCTTTCTCGCTTTTTCGCTCTTGGAGCCGTCTTGAGCCATCTTGGGCGTCCCTGACACCTCGCGGGACGCCTCGTCCAGGTCAGTGGGGAGGGGTAAGGGGAGGGGTAAACCCCTCCCCGAAGGGAAAGAAGGGGGGTTGGCAGAGGAAACGCTCTAGACCACCTACGCCCTAAAGGGCTGGTGGGATTAGGCACGGGATGAGTTAGGCACCAGGTGAGTTAGGTACCGGGTGAGTTAGGTACCGGGTGAGGTTGGCACCCGGTGAGTTTGGCCCTGGGTGAGTTAGGCACGGGGCGAGTTAGGCACCGAGTCAGTTAGGCATCGGGTGAGTCAGGCGTTGAGCGAGGTAGGCATGGGGTGAGTTAGGCATCGGTCGAGTCATTCACCCGGTCAGTTAGGCACGGGGTGAGTTTAGCACTGGGTTAGTTAAGCTCCGGGTGAGTTAGGCACCACCAGGTAAGTTAGGCACCGGGTTCACCAGGTAAGTTAGGACCAGCTGAGTTAGACATCGGGTGAGTTAGGCGGGGTGAGTTAGGCATCGGTCGAGTCAGACACCTGGTGAGTTAGGCACGGGGTGAGTTAGGTAATGGGTGAGTTAGGCGCAGGGTGAGTCAGGCACCAGCTGGGTTAGGCATCGGGTCAGTTAGGCCTGGTTGAATTTGGCACTGGGGGAGTTTGCCACTTGGTGAGTTAGGCGTTGGGTGAGTTAGGTTTGTACTGCGTCTCCTGCCTGTGCCATTCCGGTCGTTCCTCTTCCACCGTGGCACAAAGCTATGTTTTGTAGCGCATCCTATGTTTGTGACCGACTGGGCGTTCCCACCGACTTCCTCCATGATACTTCCAAGACGTTCCCAGGGCTCCCGACAGGCCTCCGCGAGAGCTCCAAGAGGGTTCCTAGATCTACCGCAAGACTTCCCAGAAGAGCCCTAGAGG